CCCCACTATCATAACCCCAGTCCTGCCTTTCACTGTGGGCTGGACTGAAGTATATACACTAGTACAGATAAGAGCTCACAACACACGAAATCCAAGTCAGATAAATCCCTCAGGAACAGAAATGGGAATATAGATACTGGGGAGGTAGGGAGAAGGTGGGAGAGGGGGGAGGAATGGGAAATTGATCACAATGATTGGCACATAACTGCACACCCCCTACAGAGAGAAACAACAGAAGCTATGGGATAAGGGAGACCCCAGTTGGTGTAAGATATGAAAATAATAACAAAATTTATCAAGGGATCATGAGGGTGGGAGGGAGGGGAAAAAGAGGAGCTGATGCCAAGGCCTCAAATAGAAAGTATATGCTTAGAAAATAATGATGGCAACATATATACAAATATGCTGGATACAATTGATGTATGGCCCCCAATAAAATGATCTTTAAAAAAATTTACTGTTCAAAATAGCAAGCTGTGGTTTGGTCTAGAGCAACATCCACATTGGTTTGGGAAATCTAATGACTTTCTGTCCATTACTGGACAGAATCTTTTCATCACATTCTCATTCCATCCTTTCGCCCATTATCACTTTTTACTAACAGACTCCCTGTCAGAAACAACTCTCTTTATATAAAACATTGCTTCTAATCTGTTGTGAGCCTAGAACTCTGGAAACAGGCTTACTAGAGAGCTCCACTATTGGACAGAAAGTTAGGCAAAGTTCAACTCTGAAAACATAACAGCTGAACTGTACACGAGCTGTCACAACTCTGAATTTGTGGTTAGGACACTCATACCAAGTTCCTGGTAACACTGTTCAGTGTTATCAGGAATGTTACATCTTCCTGGAAGAAAGTGATGGGAGATTGCTTGCAGGGCTTGGGAGGTAAAAAAAAATTGCTGAGGTATACAAACATGTTCCAAGCATTTGTTAATAATGATAGATCAGTAGAAAAGTCACAAGAATGCTGAATTTAGGACATGATGTCACCAATGTGGTACAACTCATACATTGCAAAGGGGAACTGATGCAGCCGGACTTAATGGATTCTGAAAAGGAAAGAAGTGCTGAAGAAAGAAAAAATGAAAGGATACAAGTCAAAACTATTTACAGTCAAAGGAATAGGTGAATTTGTGGTCTAAATGAAATTGGGGCTTCAGTTGCTTAAGAACATGCAGCCAAATATCGATCACTTTGGTAAAGCAGAAAAGCAGATTCAATAAGCAAATGTTACTGGAAATATAATAAATGCGATCATACAGATAACTCTCACTCATTTCTGACTAGCAATGTTATCTCCATTCCCAAAGTTAATCCAAATGATCCAGAGTGGAATTATTACCACAACTGACAAAATGCCAATGCTGCTCAACTCGCCTTCAGTCATGAAACACATCTGTTCATTTGGGGTGTTAATAAGCCGCCCAATACACTTCTCACAGATACCCTTAAAATACAATGAAAGTGCAATTCCCTTTACTTTACTAAAACCATCAAATATAAGAAGGTTCGGACACAGGAGTCTA